CGTTTGTTATTGCTCAGGAACTCGCTACATCGGCAGCAGTGTTGCCACTTTTCTTTAAAAAAAAAAAAATACAAAACGGTGTCAAAAAATATCTAAAAAGATCTAAATCTGCGTGGAAAAGATCTAGAAAAAACATCCAAATTAAAAAAAGTCAAAAATTACATAGCTTTTGTTATGACTTACCCTACATAATCATGTCCTCACCTTCACTGATGCCTCACAAGATCCACAGGATAAACTTAGCTTGGGTAATGAAGTTGAAGCTTCAGATCCAAAATGACCTTGGTATGCTTTAGCTGTTCAAATTTCTTTATAAGTGGAACAGTTGGCTTATTTCTCTAGTCTCATCAGGCCGAATTTTAATGGCACGATAGCATTTAAGAGGTCAAATTTCATCCTGTTTTTTAGGTTAGATTTGATATAATTCCTAGCACTGAAAAATGTTTCTACGTCAGCATTTGAGTGGGGTAGTATCATGGCAGACATGGCACTTTAGAGAGCTTACAGAATGGACTGTTTGATGAGGCATCTTTAAATTGTCTCACTTCACTCCAAAACGCTTTAAGTTTCTGTTTTGTTTGTCCATTCAGCAAACTTTTTTTTCGTTAACTGATATTCTGCTTCCGCGACACTATTATCAGTAGCCCCTAAATTTTTCATAACTTTACAATATTTAGGTATGTCCTTTATTGGCTGAAGTATGTTGCTCACAGGAAAAAGTAAAATATTTTTCAAAACATCTAGATTTTCAGGAAGTCTCTGCTTCAGTTGCTTCAATAATGAGATAAGGAAATCTTGACAGCGTTTTCTTAAGTTGTTCTCTTCATGATTTACGCGCGTTTTTATTAATCAGTACTGGGGCTGCCAGATATTTGTGCGTTGACCCCAGTAAAAGTTCAAAGTTCAAGTAATGGCAGTTGTCACAGTGTACGTGCCAGACCATAACAAAAATATTGTAGTAAATATTTGACACAGTAATTATTAAATTGAAAATAAAAGAAGAAAAATATCATTAAAATATCTAACTCCATATGAAAAGAATCTAGAATGATATTTACGATCTAAACGTCAAAAACAGCACCTAAATGCAATAAAAAAGATCAAAATTTGGATATTAAAGATCCTAAGTGGCAACACTAAAGACGACAACAATAGCGAAAAATTTGTCTTCTTCGTTGTTAGTTAGTTATTGAAGAAGCACATAATCATGTGCTAAAAAAAAATTTCTAAGCTAAGTAGACAAAGTTATCACACTAATATTTAAAACAACTCGTCATTGTGTACTGAGGCTTACTAAAATTGAAAATTATAGGTGCTTTAATATACTCATACACTAAAAAAATTGCCTAGCTAAAAAATTGTTAAAATGTTAACCTGCAAAAGCTTTGCTTATTAAAACTAAAATATACTGTGCCTATTTAAAAGTTACAATGAATAATAAATAAAAGCATTTTTAATTACTAAGTAAGAAATGTATATACAGCATTTATTTTAAAATTGCAATTACTTCCCTTAGATTAAAAAACCCAGTTTTGTCTCCCATTGATATTTTGATTGATGTGTAAAAACATTTTGTGCTTGTTTGTTTCATCATCATGTAGCAGGTTCTTTGCAGAACGTCGCTCTATTCACAGTCTGTGTTAAAGAAACTCAGTCTTCCGCCAGTTCTCCCGCCTAATGCACCCGCCTAACGCACTTTCACACTCAATGAGTCACTTATATCCTGGGCCCATCTTCGTGTCGGTCGGCCCCTGCCCCTCCTTCCTGGTACCATGCCTTCTGCTATAATTTTTTCTAGTCCGTCGTGGCGCTTGATATGACCAAAATATTTCAGCTTCCGAGAAAGGAGGCTGTTTATTAGCCAATCTTCCTTGATGTTTAGATCTTTTAGGATATCAATATTTCTTATCTTCTTTGTCCAAGATGAATATAAAATGAATACAAAGGAGAAATTACCCTCTTAAACAAACCACACCACACAAACCTGGTTAACAGCAGATATAAAAAATGGAGGGTGCCATTTTAACAAACAAATTATGTTACGTTTCCACAATGAATGTTAGCGGAAGTATTGTCCTTTATGAATATTACGTGGAGACGCTCGTCTTTTCCACTGTCTGTATGCAGCGTATATTATAGGCTGCATGCAGTCGTGGGACTTAGCTGCACTCTCTCGTGGGACGAAGGCTGAGGCTGTGGGGTAGGGGGTTGGGGTTAGGGCCAGTTGTAGATGTGCTGGGGCCTTTAAAAGAGCTAACATCATGGAATTTAGAACAAGCGGTATCGAGTGCCGCTAACAACAACGAGTAAAATACTACGTGTTGCTGGCTGGTCACTAAGAGTGACACCCCCCCCCCCCCCGCAATATAGGACAGGCCCTACGACACGACGACACCTGAACGGCAAGGGAAGTCACTCTCTTCCTAGGCTGGAATACGTTACAAGCACTCTATCTGTCTATCCTTCCATCCATTCATATGTCCGTTAGTCTATTTGTCTCTCTGTCTTTCTATAAGTTTGTCGGTATATATGCCCGCCTGTACGGATACTGTTCTGTTGAGCGTGGTATCTTTGCAATCCGTGACTATATTTTTGATTTGTTTAATTTTTTTTTTTTTTTAAATTATAGAAAACAACAATAAAGACGGATGCTTTTAGGTAAAGGGGATGGCAGAGTAAAAGACTAAGAGAGAGAGAGAGAGAGAGAGAGAGAGAGAGAGAGAGAGAGAGAGAGAGAGAGTATTATTGCTGGAACTACTTAAATGACATCTTACCAAGCATAGTTCCAAATAGCAACATCTGTTTCTATATGTATTTGGTCAACGTATAGGATGAAAACCTGAACAGTTATACTGTATTTATAAATCTATATTTTTGAAACACATAACTTGATAATATTGTTCTTCTTTTGAAAATATGTTAATTTAAAGTGAAAAGTGAATAATGAAAACGATTATCCATACGGCATTTTAATGGATCAACGCATGCATTGTAAAATGTGGCCTAAAGGTTTAATCTGTAAGCCTGCAGCATCCATCTGAAACTATATAAAATGTAATACTTATGTATAGGCTTTTGAGTACGTCAATTAGTACGTAGAAAGTAACGGTAGCTACTTTTGCACAATGAGAGAAACTTTCGGAAATCACCGGTCGTTTACATATCTCAAGTTAATATAGCATGTGAACAAGGTAGGATGGACACTGCACGTAAATGTTTTGTAATTTAAAATCGAAATTTTAGACACTTTTTAGTTTCGTTGCAACCACTGATTCATTTTTAAATGTTTGACCAAAGCTTTTGGGTCAACTTATTTAAATTACACTTTTAAACTAATTAATCTAATAAAAAATGCTACTGTGTTTCTAAAGAAACACATTTATAATATACACCCAAAACAATTTGTATTTGATAAATGTCACATATTGAATGTTAACTGTTATTTCAGCTGTTGAACACCAGGTATGTCACGCAGCGAAAACGTCTGAAACAGTCATGTCGCATTTACCCTATGAAGTGTTTCAAACAACCAATTGTACAAACATGTTGCATGTCTACCGACAAACGTAGGTGACAGCCCGTTCGTGACAATTCATCTAAGCTAGGGGATTTTCCCGGGAGGAAGTACAAAGTCAACTTGAACAAATAAGACAAAGAATGTGGGCATAAATGCATTCACGGGCGTAGATAGAGAGAACACAACCCTGGATTGGGAGATAATAGCGAGTCTCATACTAACCGAATGCGGGACCTGCAAATAAAGTCTGGGAAACCGCGTCAATGTGGTCTTCGAAACCATAAGAGGGACAACTTTACATGGAACCAGTCAAAATAACAACAACAACAACACACACACACACACCCACTCGTACACGCACAAGTATACACGCTGAAACGTGGGCAGCGACGTGCCCCTGACGCTAATCCACCTGCGTGACCTACAAGTAAAGCCTGTTGAGCATGTGTTATTCTTACGTATTCTGTTATAAGTAGTGTTTACTTTAAATCAGCGGTCCCCAGTTATTTTGAATCACGAATCAGATTCTTTGACGGAACTCTTTAGGTCTAATGTAATCTATGTCATACAAGTTTTAGAAATAATGTCATGGAGTGGATGAAGAAGACTTGGGTAGTGGGGGAATTTAAAATAAAGAGATAAGGGGATTTATTGCCAAAGTAAATGGACACTGCTTGAAAACAGAGAGCCTCGCCTACAACACAGATGGTTCAGTCACGGCCAGCTCCAGTATTAGAGAAGGCAGTGGTTGACATTAACCACATGTTGTGATACCACAATATCCAGCTTAAGAACGGAGGTGGATGCGGTCACTGCAGCTTTCCGCTGGTTATAGAACACAACACACACACCTATCGTGATTGTAACTGACTCAAAAAACATGCTGAGGATGGTCAGTGAAGGTATGTTTCTTGCAGAGTGACATGCTTCACTGCGGAGGACACGTGTAAGGAGTATTGTCTGGATTTTTTTTTCACCGCGATACGTCGGTGTATTGGGAAATCAACAGGCGGACAGACTGGCTGGCTCTGCACAACATGGTGGAGTACTGATGCACGATAAGGCAGACGTGGTTAGTCCCTTGTGAAAGAGCTTGTACAGTTCGGAGGAGCAGATGGATCACCACAGTCTGGTGAGATTGATACAGCGGGGAGTGACGAGAGGTTCTGGCAGATGCTCGAGGCTCAGAGGAAAGAAAAGATGGAAGTTTAATCAGAATGCTACAATAGTTTTGGAATTTTTCACTGGCTGCTGAGGGTGGGACGGAGAGCTTATGGGAATGCCCCGAGTGCTGTGATGTCGGTTCTCTAATCAACACAACTCAATGTAGAAATGTGGAAATAGTATTGTCCCGTAAAATCCCGATTCACGTTTTGGCCCATTCAACCGGAAACCAGACAAACCCAGTCAGCAAGAGACAGACAACAATGGAGAACCGGCGTCTGATTTAAGCCTGAAGTAAGCAGACGGCATAGAATTTCAGATGGAGCTGGTCTATTCTATTGATTTTAATATTTCTTCTAAGAGAAATGACTTTGTCGTGGACGAAAAGATATGTTGCAGTCTTTCGTGCAAGAATATTGTAGCTTTCAGTCGTGCAAGAAAATCGGATAATGAAGAAGGGTAAGGAGTAAGAAAGATTAGTAAGAACTAACTAAAGTAGAAGGCCCAAGTGAGAGAAGTCAGTATAAGATACGACTTTAAAATAAACTTTTCTTATATTGTAGCTCTGCAACTCTATGTGTTTATTATCGCTAATGTCTACATAGGTAAATACAAAATTGATGTGTGTATTTAAGTAGATATTTCAAAAAAATGCTTGTAAAATAATTATGAAACTCACAACTGCAAGTTGGATAGCTCAGTCTTAAAATTAGGTACTTCAGTCAAATTTTCAAAATTCCCTCTACACCAATAAAAACCAGCACAGTTAGATAGCTGTAAACAATCTCTTTCCAACGGTACCTCATTTAGGCTTGTGTGTCATTTCTGAGCTGAGATATGTAGGTTTTTGTGGAGATGAGATGTAGAAAGCAGCTGCTAAAACTTGTGACCCAGAAACAAGAAGTTTTTTCTGCGCAACCAAACTGCGCACTTACCGTTTTGGCTTTGTTTACATTGGACTGTCCCCAGTTATTTTGAATCACGAATCAGATTCTTTGACGGAACTCTTTAGGTCTAATGTAATCTATGTCATACAAGTCATTGGACTGTCATTGGACTGCAATGAGACACAGCCACTGGCTGAGCCAGCGATTGCCTGAAAAATGTCACTGTACATCTACCTAGCCACGTACAGAAAGAAATTTTGGCACTCTTCCGAATACCGGCCCCATATTATTTGCTGTCCAAAACATTCCTGTTAGAGCCTCAAAGGGTTCAAGAGGTTACAAAGAGGTCAAGGGGTTATAAAGAGGTTATACAAAATATAGAACAAAAAAATTGGAACAATACGTACCAATAATGCCGTGAAATAATTGCGGCCATCATCATCAGTTTCCACATCTGCGCGTTAAGCGTTGTGAGAAATAGTTTTTGATCGACTGAAGTGACGTGGGGAGGAATAATTTTCGATCCATCGGAGCGCTGAAGTGACGTGGGGAGGAATAATTTTCGATCCATCGGAGCGCTGTGTCGATGGGTAGCAACGTTAAGATCATCATCATCAGTCTTGGAACAATACGTACCAATGATGCCGTGAAATAATTGAGGCCATCATCATCAGTTTCCACATCTGTGCGTTAAGCGTTGTGAGAAATAGTTTTCAATCGACTGAAGTGACGTGGGGAGGAATAATTTTCGATCCATCGGAGCGCTGAAGTGACGTGGGGAGGAATAATTTTCGATCCATCAGAGCGCTGTGTCGATGGGTAGCAACGTTAGGATCATCATCATCAGTCTTCACTTCTGCCGTTAAGCGCCGTGAAATAATAATTGAAGCCATCATCATCAGTTTTCACTTCTGCGCAATGTTTAAAGTTAAGCGCCGTGGGGAGAAATAGTTTTCCGTGGGGAGGAATAATTTTCGATCCATCGGAGCGCTGTGTCGATGGGTAGCAACGTTAAGATCATCATCATCAGTCTTCACTTCTGCCGTTAAGCGCCGTGAAATAATAATTGAAGCCATCATCATCAGTTTTCACTTCTGCGCAATGTTTAAAGTTAAGCGCCGTGGGGAGGATTAATTTTCGATCCATCGGAGCGCTGAAGTGACGTGGGGAGGAATAATTTTCGATCCATCGGAGTGCTGTGTCGATGGGTAGCATTGTTGAGATCATTATCATCAGTGTAGCAACGTTAAGATTATCATCATCAGTGTAGCAACGTTAAGATCATCATCATCAATTTTTACTGCTGCCGTTAAGCACCGTGAAATAATAACTGAGTCGCTGAAACATGTGTCCCCCCCGCACCCCGCTCCTTTTCTCCCTCCACACAGTGGAATTTTTATAAGAAAGATAAATAAGATACACACAATATATATATATATAATACACAAAGTATATTCAATCAGATTATTAAATTACAAGAAGCCAAATCAGGATTTCAGAAGGAAAAAAAAACTGTCGGCCTGTTTCTCTAAATATCTAATGCATTTGATGTATATTGAAGAGAGCGCTGTGTTATACCTGCAACAATATCATATCTACTTTGATGGATTTAAAAATACCAAGATGTGTAGTAGAAACGACATAGCAGAGAAGATATACTTGGCTACAACTTATCTAAACACAAGAGGATGTTCAGTATCAATGAAGTGTGTACCACCTGCTAGTGTGGTCACTGAGAAAATGAAATGACAGACGAAAAGAAGGAAATGCAGAAAAAAAAATACAATACACTTTCCGTCCAAGGAAAGTGGCAACTCTGCCAATAATATTTGAGTTATATGTCGAAATTGTGGCACAACAGTTGTAAATACTGTCCAAAAACATGTTCTTTGTGACTGTGACGCCACTGAAATTCGGCTAAATATGTATTAAACAATGCACGACTAGTGCCGCCTTGGAAACGCTGTTTCCTTTTGACTTGCATCCACAGCCCTTCAATTGTTTGGGTGTGGATGTCTCCGTGTACATGGTCAACAAAATTAATAGCATGAACAACAACGAGATGTTCATATATGCCATTGTTGAGTTGACCAACGTTGTTGTAGCCTCGCCAGGCATCGGTGACAATTGTCGTTCCTGGTAACACATGCTCACTTATGATGCGTTCCAATGTTGTCGCATCTCGCCTATTAACAACTTCCAACCAGCAACGACCACTACCACGTTCAACTAGCCCAACTACCTATTGACCACGATGAAAGTAACCACGATGGTACTTGCGGTGGAAAAAATAGCTCTCGTCAACTTCAACAACCATTGACTGTCCGTTAGCATCAAATCCTCCCAACTGAGGGTTGCTAAGCAGCAGCCAGTTGTAACACTCTACCCGAAAATAATTGTTATAGTTGACTATAGTATCACAGCTTGTTAATCTGTCAAAAAACATCACATTTTTTGCTTGACTTCGAACAACCAGTAAAACATTACCATCACAATTCTTTCAGTTGGGAGTTCACAATTAGCGAAGAACGAACCCGTCCGTACACTGCAACGAGTATTACAGCGACGACATCGCCAAGAGAATCTATCGGAACATTCTAGCCTTGACACTAATGACATCCGACAGTTGCAAGACGAACAGTCTACTGAGTTCCGTATTATTCTGTGCATAGCAAGCCATTGCAACCACTGTAGTTTATCGTTCATTATTCTATATAAATCATCAGGTCTGACATCTACAGCTGCCAGTTGATCAACTTGTAGAATATTATTGCTTATCTGTTTTGGAGCCGATGGTCTGCCTGCCATAATTAAAAGTAGCTGCACAAATTATCAAAGAAATATTTCCACTTTATTCGCAACTTTTGCCGATAAGCAATTAATTATCTACGCAAGTGCACAAATTCGCAAAGAGACTGTGACGAGGTGCATTCGGTGAGTACAGAATTCCTTCTAAACGCAACAACAAAAAAAAGTACACAAGTCCAACAGAAACCTTTACAAAGTGAAACAATGAGGTAACTGAACAGCAAACCCAAGCGATCTTCCTAGCAGCGATCAAAGTGTCTGACCAACCAACAATTTATCTCAGTGGAATTTAACGTTAGCTTAACAGCTGGACCAGGGAACGCATCTACGTTGAAGAATTATGCAATCTTCCAGTCGAACGGACAGAAGACATAACCATCTGAACTTGCGGACAGGCAGGTGGCTAATTACCACGGGTTAGAGTTGAGACGTAGCGGGCATTCTCAGACCAGCCAACTTTGATGTCCAGAGTTCAATCAGGATAGCGGGTCCAGTTGTCCAAGCAAGCGAATTTCGCACATTAATGTGATACACGTAATCTACCTAGTGATGTCTAGTGATGTTACAACATACTCGTAATCACAAGGGTGGAACTTGGACAACAGGGTAGAACATTTACGGATGCCTGTGACCTGATTGATTCTATTATACTTTCATACTGTGCCAAAAGAGAAAATCTAACCATTTTTTGAAAATAAAAATTTCAAAAATGGAAATATTTGAACTACTGCATGTAAACAGTGAAAGTAGGTGCAAACATTAGTTAAGCAATATACAAGTAACCTGCAGTCTTCATCTTTTATCATCTTACTAAAAGTATATCTATATCGATAAACGCCTTTTCCCTTCTCCCGAGGATACTCAGTCAGCTCAATATATTTCACGAGTCTTTATTAGGCTGTATCTGTTTAACCAGGGACTATTACAACCAACCAATAATCGACTTCGTTAACAATAATAACCACGTATTGATGCCCTTCCAAGTAGTGACAAGTCACACACAAGACATTTTTTGTGGGTTCCAAGGAGGAAAAAAAAAAAAAGAATTGATCCACTGCCACCTGAAAAGAATGTTGTAAAAGGCAACTAATTAGGACTGCTGAAATCAGATGTGTTAAGCGAAAGGCGCAGATATCGCAACCTAGCACGAAAGGCGCAGATATAGCAGCGTATTTGTAAACCACAATACACTATGCCAACCGCCATTTCAAGGGCGAACAAAAAAAAAGAGATTGGCTGCCCTTGACATGACCATTTAGCACTTCGCGCCCGCTATCGCAGCCTAGCTGTTAACCACAAGACCGAGCGAAGGGCGCAAATATCGCAGCCTAGTTGTAACCACAACACAACGTGTAAACCACCCTTTTAAAGAAAAGCCCGACCACCGGCGTAACAAGCAGACTGCTTATCAACTGTACTAGCGAAGCAGATATCGTAGCTGTAGCGAAGCAGATATCGTAGCCTAGTTGTAACTACAAAACAACGTCTAAACCACCCTTTTAAAAGTAAAAAAAAAATTTGCCGCCACTATCGCAACCTAGCTGTTAACCACAAGACCGAGTAAAGGCGCAAAACCACCCTTCTGAAGAAAAAAAAGAAAAATGTTTTTGCCCGCCGGAGAATCGAACCCCGATCACCGGCGTAACAAGCATACTGCTTATCAACTATACTAGCGAAGACTCTGTAATTTCGCTCAAACGAAATTATATAATAAAAGAAAGCATTGTTTGTAGTGTTCCTGTTCCATATTTTTAACTACATGACCTCTCAAGTCCCTAACAACGACCTCTTGAGGCCCTGAATGGGATTTTTTGTCTTTGAATAATATGGGGCCGGTATTCGGAAGAGTGCCGAAATTTTATATACAAGTGAAAAATTGGACGGAGAATTCAATTATAACTAGCATTACCAGGTACAGTAACAGTTAAAGCCTAAAGCCAACCCTGAATACTTATCGCTATTTTCAATCAAACTGATGTAACAGAAAAACAGAGCAATTCAGGCTGTCGTAAACTTGTACTTGTAATCGGGTTCGTTCCTGCTGTTTTCAGCTATTTATAGCTGGTCCAAAATCCCACCAATCGCGAAATTTCATGAGAGATTTGGACCCATCCGGAAACCAGCCGAGATTTCCCGAACAAGTTTCGAACAATTTCTGGGTAACGGAAATTGCCGAAAAGACCGCAAATTGCCAAACACCATAGTCGCTACTTAAAATACTTTAAAAATGTGGCTCTCCTTTAAATAACGGTTGCTAGCTGGAAGGCGACGGACGCTTAGTCGGAGTTCAGTCCCCTGGCTGCAGTGCAATTACGGAGTGGAAAAGAGGGAACAAAATAAATGAGATAATTACCTGTCATTCTAGGGTTAGGCTAAGGATTTGGGGTAGTGTTTGGGTTAGGGTAACACATCACGGAAACCATGCAAGCTTACCGCTCATTACGACATACAGATCAGCAGGTCTCACATCTACGGTCACTAAGTCTTGCGTCAGAAGAAGGCTGTCGCTAATTTGAGTCGCAGCACGTGGTCTGCGAGAGTCCAGCGTCGCAAGACCGCGGTCGCTAATGTCAGCCGCAGCGTGTGGTCTAGCTCTAGCAGGCATGTCGACCTCACTTTGTTTTTTGATTCGTGACTTGTCCGCTCCGTATTTGCACTGCAGCCAATGGAGTGAACTCCGACTAAGCGACCGTCGCCTTCCAGCTAGCGACCGTTATTTAAAGGAGAGCCAAAAATTTAATCCAGTACTAATAGTAATACCAGTAGTTCAGTACCTTAGGCTTAGGCTGAGCCTTATAAACAAGTCTGCATTCGTCACCGTCAGTCCATTCAAACCAGCAGAAAAGTAACCTTCTTTCTTCGTTACCCAGAAATAGATTATCTAAATCTGCAGTGTTGTCTGCAATGTGAACTTGACTATCTAAAAAGTAATGTTTGGTGTGTGTAGTATTATTGAGGTAAACTGTTTTCACATAGTAGTAATTAGTAAATATTTTGTGAATTATTTTAAAAATATGCAGCCAGCAAAGTTACAAATATCATTTAAATATTATCATCATCATCTTCTGGTTATATATTGCATAGGGTTTACTGTCACTTCTTTCAGTTTGTTCTATTGTGTGCAATCCTTTTGATATCATAGAGGGAATCTAGTTCAGCTCCTTTGGTTTGTCTCATTAATGTTCGCCTTAGGGTGTCTCTTGGGCATTCACATTCCTCAATCCATTCATTTCCAATTTCATTGCCTGTTTAATGATTGATCTTCTGTGTGGGTTCCACCCCCCTCGCCCCTTTTTATGTTATCCTCTCACTTGTATATCTGTCACCCTCTTGACTTTAGCTTTTCCGTCTAGTTAGGTGTTTATAAGACCTACTGCCCCTTAATAATCATGTCCTAAAAGTTGACTAATTAGGGATGCTTTCTTTGAAGTTCAAGTGCAACTGCCAGAAAGGCAAGGAACCAGCAGTCTGCATACAGATAAGCCAGATCTGTAAAATGAATGTGCACACAAGACTCAGGTTCTTGAACAAGAGTCAAGTCCAGAAGTGGACGAACAACTAGAACTTTCTGCCAGAGTTCACAGCCATTGAACACAAAAAAGGATGAGTAACTTTTTGTTTACTTAGTTTCAGGAGGTGCTTAATACAGTGCTTTCTTCTTTGATTTTGTTAAAGTGTTGATACCAGTTGTTGTCCTGACATTTCACTTCATTCTTCAATTGATCAATGAATCAATTGGCTGCAGTGGATCTTTAGCTAATTCTGTCTCTTGTCCTGGTTATACACTCTCTCAAACTGCTGCCTGTCCATCTTTTGATGTTATCCTCCCACTTGTATCGTTCCTCATCTCTTGCTCTCTTGCCTCCGTTTTGCCCAGTATGATTTTTAAAAGTATGTTATGTCTTTTAATGTGGCTGTAGTATATTCCAATTCTCTTTCTTTTAAATTTTATTTTTTCAATAATTCTTTTGTGTGTGTGTGTGTGTAGTCTTTCTAGAACCTCTGTATAGGACTGTTTTTGTTTCCAGCCACATTTCCAGAGATTCAATTTGATTTTCTGCTTGCTTGTTCATTGTCCAAATTTCTGCACGATACAGCAGGAAGCAGGATTGAATATACATAACATTTGACAATTCTCATGTCTTTACTTTTCTTGAACCCTTCCCATTTAGTGTTTATTATTTATAATCAGGCAAAAATTATAAAATGTTTTTTACCTGGGACTTTAAGGGACAAGCTGGACGTATGTTTTGAAGTATGTGTTGTGGACCTGGACAAGCCCTGGCAAGAGTATGAAGTCACCACATACACTTCGCCTGTGACCTATATGAGATGGGACCCTGCGGGGACCACACTTCTTGTAGTGAATGCTGCAGGCAGGTTCAGTCTCTGGAAGATGAAGGTGAGTACTTCGTATATGTTATGTTGTCTTATTCTTTAGTTCACTTAAAATAATTTATCTATATCTGCAGTGCTGTCTCTCGTATGAACTTCACTGTCTTTTATAGTTCACTTAGTGGCCCGTAAAGTTTGGCTTCCACCAGTGTCCCTCTTGGACAAAAGTTTTGCCTGGAAATGTTGTATTTGCGACAGCCTTGTAGGATGTGATCTGTTATGTTGTGTTATTACAGTTGGTGTTGCTGCACAATAGGCATTTTCATGATTTTCAGTCTTTTATCGTTTTCTTCTTCTCACAGACATCAGAAAGAGACAGTCATCATTTTTCGGCCATGTTTTAAGATAAGGGAAAATGGAACATGTGGTGACCACTGGAAAGATTTGTGGAAGGAGGGATAGAGGAGGACAATGAGAAAAGATTCTTGACAGTCTTGTTCATGGCTGGAGGTGTGTCAGCACACGAACTAAAACATGCTGCACGAGATCGCAGATTGTGGCAAGGCATAGTCGCCCATGCTAGTCGGCAAAGCACCTGATGATGATGATCCACTATTCGTATTTGTATTCGTATTCGGTCGAATAGTTGGTCCAGCTATTCGTATTCGGCCGAATAGTGAAAATCACTATTCGGCCGAATAGTGAAAATCACTATTCGGTACAGCCCTAATAGTCAGGTTAACCTCCAAGAATCATAAGTATTCGCCAGCTGAGTTCATACAGCATTGACAATATCAGCTCTGTGCATGCTTTTTCCCTGCATGCATGATTACTTGCCAGTTTGTCTGCTTACATTTGACTCCAGTCTGCCAAAGTGTGTAGAGATTCAATTGAGGGAAGTGAGGCGTGACTTCCAATAGCATAGGATGTTAAATCATCAATTATCAAGTTCTATGCAGAATGTTGCCCTCATTACTGCCTGTCAGTAAGATTCTTGCTGCTTTGCTAGCTTTTGATTGATCGGCTTGTCCCTTTGCTAACGCTACCAGAAAGTTTACTACCCTGAGGTTTAAAAAAACACACCAAAAAAACTGTCAGTCTGGGTCTACCATAAAACCTGGAAGAAGTTATAACTAGGGAACCTCTAATGGCTTCACCTGCAGTCCTGTGTGAGTATAGACTGCTAGTCTCCTGCTTCATACATTGTTAGACTTAGGGTGTATTTAACATTCTATGTCCATGTTCATGTTGGTCAACCCCTGGTTCTTAATTGTATAGGTGGGAAGTTAGCTGACTTTACCCATCAAGAGTTGATGGTTTTAAAATATAGGACTGGTACCATGTACACAGTAGTCTTTTACCATTTTTATATTCACTTTTTAAAAAATTCAGTCTCTATTATTGATGCGGGAGCTGCCTTGGTGTAGCAGCTAGACACTTGGAGCCAGACTTCTTTTTTTTTTTTAAATAATGGTCTTAGTTACCAGGTCACCTCAGTCACCACTGAAAAGCCTGAAGGCACATCGTTCGTATTTTGCAGAATAAGAGATTCAGATTTTAATTGCTGATTCCTTGTGTAGGCTCTGGGGCCCTATTGTGGGGGACAGCAGTAATACTGACCAACAAGCATGTCATAAAAGTATTCTAATAATGGGTGTGTCCTTCAAAATCAGAGTGCTTCTGTCTAAGAGGGGAGTAACAAGCAGTCTGATACAGAAAGCCAGATTTGTAACATCGATGTACATGCTAAACTCTCAAGTTATGGAACAAGACTGAAGTCTAGGAGTGAGTGCACCAACGATAATTTTCAGAGTTTACAGCTGGTGAAAATTAAGAAGCATAATTGCCTGTTAAGCTGTAACTCCAGTGACAAGTTCTGGTTGTTCATCCAGTTCTGGACTTGTGACCTTTATTCCTTCTGGCTTCAGTGAGGCCAATGCTATCAAAATAGTTTTTTTCTCCTCCATTTTACTCAGAATTGTTTGCTGGAAGTTTGGAAAGAAGTGAGTGATCTTTAATCTTTCTGGCATAATTGGTGCATATTTTATAAGAATATGAACAAAGAAGACTGATTAAAATGAAGCAAATGGTAAACTCTAGGTGAAGAGCGTATCCTTTCAGAAGGACATGCTCCTAATCTTACGGTTACCCTATTGAAATAGACAGTTTTGAATGTAGTCGATTTTGTGTTTCAGTTCAAAGGATTTATTTATTTGCTTCATTTTAATCAGTTTTTACTGTAGTATGCACCTGACCAGATACTGCAAAATATGCCTCGCAATAAATTGTGCAGTCTATTGTTTGTGTCTTCTTTGTCCATATTTACAGTGGGAAACCATTGCTTTGATTATAAGAATAGATCTATCTTCTACTCACCTCAGAATTATTTGCTGAATGTTTGGGAAGAAGCTGGAACTGTGGATTTAGACAAAGAAGATGTTTTGGTTCTTGCTTGGCTGCACAGTGGATCGCAGGTAAATAACAGTGATGTGTGCTTGTGAAATAAATCAGCAAAACTGGTGTCTCTTATTTGTATGCCTGTCTCATGATATTAGTAATAATATAACTTTGCATAGAAGATGTTGGTCATGTAATCAAATGATCAGCCTTCCAACTTTCCTAGCAAACAGGTCACCCCAGAGTTGCTCTGTTCCTATGCCAGTCTAAAGCATACACAATATCTGTCACTGTCACTTGTGAAAAAGTTGACACAGACAGCAGTCACCACAACGCCAGTAGCATAGATTCGATTTAAATCTGTAAGGCAACCCTCAGAAATGCCAACACAAACAGTCAGACATTTGAATAATTGATGACGTTGTAGTTACAACAAAATAATAGTCGCACACACAATTAATTGCATAAGGTACTAGTGTTCACTGAAACAGGTCACTCGCCATTTTCTGAATCTGCAGTTCCAACACAAACCACATTTGGCAGTCAAAAATCATTGCAAATTAAATAAGCAGCTCACAGAATCGTGCCATGCACTCAGCTCAGTAGCTGGGTGACGGAACTATTTCCTTTCAGTCTAATATATGGAGAAAAATGCAACGGCTAACTGGTGTCAGAAGCAGCAGCTTGCCACAACTAAACAGTCTGTCATCATGGCATCATATTATAAATAATTGACAGTACACAAAGCACAACTCTTGTGTACAAACATGATGTATACCAGACAATCTGGACTCTAAGAATAAAACAAAATTTGGAGGAATGGTGTAAGGCAGACATCCAAGGGAATGACAAATGAAGTGTTGGTTAACTTGGAAATATGTATGTATATTCTTGATGATGTCAGAGAGTGCACAAGCTTCACTGCAGTTAAACGTCATTATAAAGAGGGCAGTTTGTCTTATCTCTGATGTCTGTTATTATTGGATCTTAGATACTTCTAATTCCTAGTCTAAAAGAACCCTTTTCCAGGCCCTTAGAAGTGTTGAGCATATGGTGCCAGACCTATATTTGATAGACTAGTCAACACTGGGTGTTCTATTGGGTCAAAATGATGCTGGCCAGTCATCATTTTTTGGCCATGTTATGAGAAGTGGGAAAATAGAACACGTTGTGACCACTGGAAAGATCTGTGGAATGAGGGATAGAGGAAGACAACGAGAGAAGATGCTTGACAGTCTTGTTGCATGGCATGGAGGTGTGTCGGCACAGGAACTGATCCATGCTGCAGGAGATCGCAGATTCTGGAGAGGCATGATCGCCCACACCATTCGGCAAGGCACCTGATGATGATGATGATGATGAATCCATGTTGCTTTAATTCTTTCTTTGACTCATTCTGCCCATTGTTTTATTGTAATTCCTTGGACCGCAAACATTTATCAGTAACTGACAATAACAACTATTTGAAAAAGAAATGCTTAGAGTAACACCTGCTTGGTACTGAAAGAGTTAACATCTTAAAATGATTATATATAAATTTATTCAACCCTGAATCTCCCCATATGGGTTCTAGGGGCCAGTGTAGACTAATTAGTGCTGTTTTCTTTGAAGTCAGAGTAGATCTGCCTGAGTGGCAAGGAACCAGATGTCTGCATACGAATAAGACAAAACCGTGAAATGGAAGTGCATGCAAAACTCAAGTTCTGGAACAAAAGTCCAGAAGTGGAAGGAGAAGAAGAACTAATATGGTTTTTATGATTTCAGGCACTTTTTAACCCAGAGTCCAGGGACAGCCTGTACAATGAGAAGTTCACCAGAACCAAGATGTCACCTTCTGTCACACAATTTGGAAAGAAGCCAGTTGAGGGGTGGATCGCCGTCACGTCCACTGGAATGGTTAGTTCTATTAACTCATTTTTATTTTTAGTTGAATCACTTGGCATCTTTGGATTAATTTTAACCTGATATGATCTGAACTAAGCTAGTTTATAAATAGAAAGAAACATGTTTTGATAAATGGAAAGATTTATGGACCCCCTAATTGAGTCGCAATGGTTTATCTATGGTGTCACAGGGCAGTGGTTAGCTGTAAAAAATTTTAACAGGAAAAACAACAATTAAATGTTGAGAATGACATAAGATTGAATGCACAACCACAAATTTGTGAGTTTGTTAATGAGTTACAGTTTCAATCATCACTTTAAATATGTGGTGAATTAACATTATTTTGAATTATATTATACTGAGAAATCTATTTTGGATGTGTTTTTTTCTTCTTCGCTTCCTCTTTTACTCCTTCGAGTGTCAAGGGAGGTATAAGGTTCTGTTTTTTGCAGCCTTCACCATAGTTTTACTAGTGTTATCTTACCATCTTTTTCTTGGTCTGCCTTGTGCTCTGCATTCTTCTTCTCTTTTCGTAAATGTCTTATATGGTATGGTGTCACATGGCATTCTCTCGATGTGTGCACACCATTTGATTTGACATCTTTGTATGTAATTCAGAATTGGCTCTGTGTCGACGTGTTCCTCATTTCTGGTTTGATCTCTTCTGGCCACTCCTGCATCCCGTCTGAGACATCTCTTTCCATTGTTGCTAATTTTCTATTCTGATTTGTGAGTGACAGTATCTGGCACTGTAGCATGTTTCCATTTATCCTGTTGAAAAGCCTATTGTTATATATGAGGCCATGGGTCACCTTGCCTCTATGAAATAGGGTCACAATTCATGGGATCCGCTGGGTTAACCCTTGTCTTAATGGTTGATGAAATAATTCTGTCTCTCCTGGGGATCAAACCAGAATCACAGTATCATCATCATCATCATCATGTTCCATGCCGCTAAATGTAGGTTGTCATGTTTTGCCACATCACACAGCAGAATTAGTGATCCTCACATGGTCACCAGAATCAATGATCATGTCTGCATTCTTGTCTACCCCTGTCCATCCATGTGTCTAAGTCTCCAGACCCTGTGTCTATGCTTGTAAAATTGCTAACCGGTACGCCACAGCAGCTCCTGTTTTCTCATTTTATGTTTATGATTTTTATCAGATATTTTTTTTCAAATGCATTTAACCTTCATTTCATATCTTTAGTGGTTCTCAAAATGTTGCTGGTATATGTTGGAATTGGAGTAACATTAGAATTGACAATTGTAATTTATAGAAAGAATAATTTATTGCAGATTCACGTAGGTCTGATGCCCGATCAGACCTCATCACTAATCACATCCAAGGTCTGTCTTGGGCAAACAAACACCCATGTCGCTCAAGCTGACATAGCTTTCATGCCAGACGGTCAAATCCTGATAGCCACAAGTGATGGTCAGCTTTCCTCATCTGTCCATTGCTTTACGGCTTCGCTTGTCTTTGAAAAACCACCAATGCAGCATTAGATGCAGTGCTTCTGCCAGCTTCTTCTTAAAAAAGCAAGTTGTGGTAAGTAGTTTCTGCTTGAAGTTTGCTGTATTCATCTGTTTTAACATGACCGTGGTGTGAGTGATAAATTTGTTATTTGTTCTGTTTCTTTCTGTGTACTGTGATTTTTATTGTTGGACTTCTTTTTCAATCAGACTCTGTTAGTCTGCTGTAAAACTTCTCATTTTATGGGCTGTGTAAACTTTGGCCAACAGGTGAACACACCTGCCACTTGTCAACTTCTGCTCCTGTCTATAAGATGAAATGATAGGTCTATCGTTTGAGACCTGGAGAGTTCGTAAACTTTTGCAATACATGTAAGAGGAAAAACTATAGAGAATATGGACTCAATTTCCATTTCATAGGAGGATGATTATACACTAATATAAAAGATGAATAGACATTAGAACCTCTGAATAAAAAAATGGATTAAGAATCGACATTGCCACATTCAGGGCACTCCATCCCCATCTTCAGCAGCAAGCAAAGAGCTCCGATTCCGATGGTATCAGTAGCTGTCTGTATATTCGTCTCACCTTTCCCTTGAGTGTTGGGCGTCGGCCAGATCCCCTGGTAACTCTTCTCAGAAAACAATTGTACCTGCACATAAGGTCAGGTCCTCATGTGGGTTCTAGGGCCCCATTGTGGGGAAAACAACACAAATAAACCCACTGTCTATCCAAAAGAATGTTGTACAATTCGACTAATTGGGAGCTTCCTCCGAAGTCAGAGTGCATTTGCCTGAGAGGCACGGAACCAACATCAGGAGTCAAATCTGTAAAATAGATGTGCATGTAACACTCAGGTTCTGGAAGAGTGCTAGAGTCCATCAGTGGACGACCAGCCTGACCTTTCCTCTAGAGGTTATAGCTAGTAAATGTGAAAATTTGAAGAAGAAGACAAGATTAGGCTCATTATTATTTTTTGTGTGTGCTCCAGAAACCGGGACAAAATCCAAAAAGAGATTGCTGAAGAGATTGAGAACTCTCAGCGTTAACCGACAGCATAGCAGTAACTTTTAAATTGATAAGCTCACATTAACAAAGATGGAGGAGGAATTAAGCCAGTTGACAAGGCACTTGATGATTATGGACTGTGCACCATGGTCAAAAGTAACCCTTTTTTCCACAGCGCCAAAAATCAAAACACAAGTTCCACATATTTTCTCCATTAACAAAACAAAAAATCTCATGTTTTTTTAAATTTTTTGGAGGATTGGAATGAATTAAAATTATTTACATTGATTTGAATTATAATTATAATTGTTTTTTAATTACTAATAATAATTTTTGTAATTATTATTATATTTTAACATGGATAATCAGTTTAAAATTTGAAACTGACAAATACGCAATCCTTTTTCTTGCAGCCCGACATTGGAACTCAAGAGGCTCGACTGACAAAGCTCAGTTTTCTCAGCCGTGAAAGTAGTGAAGTTCTTTTGGCTTGCTGGGGAACCTCAACCTTCAGCTGCATCGAGGTAATGCTTTACTTTATCAGATTCATTCGTTTTCATCTGATCATCATAATAGTTTTGAAATTAGATGATTGAAAAAGAGTGTGGCTAACGGGTTTGTTTGTTTGTTTATCTTGTACTCCTTGGGATGTATCCATTGGAAGGCTCCAAGTTTTTTTTTTACCTGTCTGGAAAGGGGGGGGGGGAATGTAGCTTTTCTTAGAATGTGATGTTTTAGCGTCTTCTTCTTCTTTTTGGTCACCAGCTATAAACTCCGGCAGAAAGTTCTGGTTCTGCATCAACCTCTAGACTTCAGTCTTGTTCCAGAACTAGACTGCAGCATGCGCATCCATTTTACAGATCTGGCGTTACCATATGCAGACTGTTGGTTCCTTGGCAGATGCACTCCGACTTTGAATAAAGCCATAATTTAAATTGACTCATGCAATATGCTTGTTGGGGAGGCAGTGGGTCTGTTCTTGTTTTTCCCACACTAGGGCCCAAGATCCCACATGCAGAATGTTTTCGCTTATTTATTGTTTTTACATACTTTATGTAGTGGTTTGACTGTTTTTCTAAATTGTCTGCAATGTTTTATGAATGATTTGACTTCTAAATTGTCTGCAATGTTTTATGAATGATTTGACTTCTAAATTGTCTGCAATGTTTTATGAATGATTTGACTTCTAAATTGTCTGCAATGTTTTATGAATGATTTGACTTCTAAATTGTCTGCAATGTTTTATAAATGATTTGACTTCTAAATTGTCTGCAATGTTTTATGAATAATTTGACTTCTAAATTGTCTGCAATGTTTTATGAATGATTTGACTTCTAAATTGTCTGCAATGTTTTATGAATGATTTGACTTCTAAATTGTCTGCAATGTTTTATAAATAATTTGACTTCTAAATTGTCTGCAATGTTTTTATGAATGATTTGACTTCTAAATTGTCTGCATTGTTTTATGAATAATTTGACTTCTAAATTGTCTGTAATGTTTTATGAATTATTTGACTTCTAAATTGTCTGCAATGTTTTTATGAAGGATTTGACTTCTAAATTGTCTGCATTGTTTTATGAATAATTTGAGTTCTAAATTGTCTGTAATGTTTTATGAATAATTTGACTTCTAAATTGTCTGTAATGTTTTATGAATTATTTGACTTCTAAATTGTCTGCAATGTTTTTATGAAGGATTTGACTTCTAAATTGTCTGCAATGTTTTATAAATGATTTGACTTCTAAATTGTCTGCAATGTTTTATGAATAATTTGACTTCTAAATTGTCTGCAATGTTTTATGAATGATTTGACTTCTAAATTGTCTGCAATGTTTTATGAATGATTTGACTTCTAAATTGTCTGCAATGTTTTATAAATAATTTGACTTCTAAATTGTCTGCAATGTTTTTATGAATGATTTGACTTCTAAATTGTCTGCATTGTTTTATGAATAATTTGACTTCTAAATTGTCTGTAATGTTTTATGAATTATTTGACTTCTAAATTGTCTGCAATGTTTTTATGAAGGATTTGACTTCTAAATTGTCTGCATTGTTTTATGAATAATTTGAGTTCTAAATTGTCTGTAATGTTTTATGAATAATTTGACTTCTAAATTGTCTGTAATGTTTTATAAATAATTTGACTTCTAAATTGTCTGCAATGTTTTTATGAATGATTTGACTTCTAAATTGTCTGCATTGTTTTATGAATAATTTGAGTTCTAAATTGTCTGTAATGTTTTATGAATAATTTGACTTCTAAATTGTCTGTAATGTTTTATAAATAATTTGACTTCTAAATTGTCTGCAATGTTTTTATGAATGATTTGACTTCTAAATTGTCTGCATTGTTTTATGAATAATTTGACTTCTAAATTGTCTGTAATGTTTTATGAATTATTTGACTTCTAAATTGTCTGCAATGTTTTTATGAAGGATTTGACTTCTAAATTGTCTGCATTGTTTTATGAATAATTTGAGTTCTAAATTGTCTGTAATGTTTTATGAATAATTTGACTTCTAAATTGTCTGTAATGTTTTATGAATTATTTGACTCTCTGTGTGGGTTCCAGGGCCCATTGTGGGGGAAAACAAGAATAGACCCACTGCCTCCCCAGCATGCATGTCATAGAAGTCAACTAATTAGGTGCATCCTTCGAATGCATCTGTCTGAGAGGCAACTAACCAACAGTCTGCATACAAATAGGCCAGATTTGTAAAACAGATTGCCTGCAACAATCAGGTTCTGGGAGAAGAGTCCTGAGGCGAGCGAAGAATAATTTGACTTGTTTTTTTTAGTGATTTAATTTGTATCTGATATTTTTTTTTTTTTGGATTAAAAATACCTTTTTGTCTAAATGACTTTTTTAACTGTTTGACTTTTTTCTTGCCAACAGGTGTGGCATCTGATGGAACAGTCAATTCCTCTGCACAAAATGTTTCAGAATGCCTCCGTCACAGAATATGCTTACAAAACTAAGCACTGGATGCATAAATCTTCATGTACTCACAACTCAGGTCTGACCGGCATAGCCAGGCCCAAGCTGCCGATAAGCCGCTCCTTCAACATGGAGTCCACCAATTTCCTGTCGTATTTCGCCTGCACGTATCTGGATGGCACTATCAAAATTATCCACCGGCAGAGCTATCAGGTAATATTTACAGTGACATCTTCTTCTTCGCATTCCCCGACTGTAACTCCAGTGGAAAGTTATGGTTGTCGTCCATCTCTGCATTTAAGTTGTATTCCAGAACCTGAGTGTTGAATGTGCAGCCATTTTACAGTACAGATCTAACTTATATGTATGCAGATTGTTGGTTCCTAGCCTCTCAGGCAGATTCCTTCAGACTTCAAAGGAAGCCCCCAGTTAGTCAACTCCTATGATATGCTTGTTGGAGAGGCAGTGGGTTTGTACTGCAGAAGGTTCTAAATGGACAAATGTGGCATGAGTAGATACGAAGCATCAGCACCTCAACTTTACAGGGACTCGTATGGACATTCTTTCTGGGAAATACAGGAGTGCGAGGGAATAAAAGAGTGGAATTTTGGGTTAAAAAAGTGATGGCTACATGGAACACTTGTACTGGTCAAAGGAGACAATCTGAAGACCATTTATGTACTGATAGAAGACGTGAGATTAGACTAAATACCATGTGTAAGAATATGTGAACATGGAAATAAGGGTGGATTTGGTAAGAAGGAATGCATGATAGCAAGAGAGCGATGTGTGTACACTTTGATCAGTAGTCTATGTCCATGCATGAGGGAGAGAGACTAAAAGAGAGAAGGAATGAATAGACATTTTTGCAAAAGGTTGAGAATTGTGTGTGCAGGTTCGATTAATGTTCTGCCTCTCTGGCTTCACTCATTTCATACATTGTTTCATTCATACCTCAAAGATCTATGAGGAAATGCACCATATGCTTGACATTCTTTTTTATCTTTCAAGGGGGCATGTGGTCTGTACGGAAATAATATTCACATTGTTCCTGATTGTATAGGGTTTAGCAGTATTTTTAAAATTATAGTCAAAGATGGTTAAAGGTGAGCCGATTGACCACGCCAAGTTGCACTGGGTTTTAACGCATTAGGCTCTCAGCAGAACAGCTAGCCATCAGCTGAGAGTGTCACACAAAGCACGAACCCTATAGCTCCTGCAATGATTCCCAGGGATCTCCACAGAAATTGCACTCAAGAACCAAATAGCACAGCTGTAAAATAAACCCACAACCTTCAGAACACGAGGCAAATGGCTTGACAACTTCACCATGGAGACCTGTTGTTAATTAAATCAACGAATGATATCATCCACAAAAATAACATTTAGATCCACTGGTAATTTCTTGTATCCACAAGTAATTTACAAGGCTTCATTGGATCAGTTGATAAGCAGCATCAAAATCTTATGTTGGTTCATTTCTTATGTTCACAGATAATTTACAAGGCTTTTCTTGGATCAACTGATCAACTTCAGAATCTTATGTTGGTTCTTTTCTTATATTCACAGGTAATTTACAAGGCTTCCTTGGATCAATTGATCAGCTTCAAAACTTTGCTGACCCCTGAACTTTCATCAGGAGAGCCCCCAGAGAAGCGATCCCGATTGTCAGTTCCCCATCTGGTATCATCTGTGCAGACCAATACTGGCTGTGGCCTGGTGGGGCTGGGAGAAGGCCGTCTCTACCTCTTTCGTATGTTCAACTCACGGGAAGGATCTCTTCAAATGTTGCCTGCCTTTGTGGTGCTGCTCCTGGAGTACACAATGTTTGTGGGGCTGGATGTTTGGGATGTCTTGCTTGCTGTGAGGCAAGGTAATGTTCCCCTCACTTCTTCATATTCTTCTTCACTCCTTCTTTTACCACTTTGGGTGTCGAGAGAGAGAGACATGTTTCTACTTCCTGCTTTTCTGACCACTCCGTTGTTGACACACCATACTTTTGTAGTTTCTCTGATATCCTTGTTACATCTTGTTTTTTTTATCTGCCTTGTGATCTTCTTTCATCTTCTCTTTTGATGTATTCCTTGTATGGTATGGCATCACAAGGCCTTTCTCTCCAAGTGGGTAATAAAATTATATTGCTGTTTTTGTAGTTTAATACTGGCTCTATGCTAACTTTTCACTCATGACTTCCTGATTTGATCTCTTCTGGTCACTCCTGCAGTTTTTCTCTGACATACTGTCTCTTGTTGGAGAAATAATATAGTAGTTAGTATGAGGCAAGGTAATATTTCCTATCTTGTTTGAGACCAAAAAGAATGTGGTGCTTGGTATAAAGACTGCTCTCATGGTTTTCGAACAGTGGTATGGGAGTCAACAGTGCGAGTGATTGGAATTTCACCACACAGAATTCTCAAAGATATCAGTGTATGCACATGTTCCCCTGCAGGCAACCTCCCTGGTGGAGACAGCACACAATTTGTTATTATTATTATTATTGGCTGATGTAGTGACCTATCAGTGATCTGGCGAAAAGTCCTGGTTGTTTATCCACTTGTGGACTTTTGGGTTTCGTTCCAGGACTTGAGTTTTGCGTACACATCCGTATTACTTGTCTGATTTATTTGTGTTCGGACTGTTGGTTCCTTGCCTTTCAGACAGAGGCACTCTGGTTCTGAAGTATTGTCAGTCCTGTCTACATGTCTCTTGAACCTTGATCCAGGTGCACCCCCATGTCTGGTTTAGCGTCCCAGCTGAATTGTTAACATCTGCGTCAGTTCAAATTTGAACTCAGTACTTTAGGACCAGCAGGCACGCATTTTACCAGAACGCTAACACACTTCCCCATCTTGTTTGTTGCTATAATTTTACTTTACTTAGTTGCTCCTTTTCTACCTTGGGGTGTAGAGGCTTGCTGGGGAGATCACCAGACTTCTCTGTCAGCAGTTTTCTTTTTGGGCTTTGTTCCATTCCAGTCCTCAGTTAGTCATTGACTGTCAGATGTTGTCTTCCCAGCAGACTCTGGAGGTCTGATTCCCTGGTTCTATGCCTGCCATGGTGGTCAATTCTCTTTTTACATACGTCTAGACCATCGTAACTGTGACTGATTCTTTAGAGTTTGTAAGGCCTGAGTTTCAAGGTTATACAGTATTGTCTCCTGTCATTTAACCCCATGTAATAATCATGCAAATGTATGTTTTAATGCTGCTTACTTTCAGGAATGATCGAAGGCATCGTAGACAAGTTGAGCTCAAATTTCCAGAAACAGACGGGGGCATTTCAAGATCTTTTACATCAGCGTCTCCTGCGTCTGAAGATGGCACTGTATTCTTGCCTGGGTTCAGGCAATCAGAGGGCAGCAGACTGTAGGGCTTTGATCACATTACATTCAATAAGTGCTGTCATTAAATCCTGTCTGAGGCCCAAGACTGTCATAGCACAGGATAAGGTAAAATATCATATCCGCCATTCTTATTCCTTTCCCTCAATTCTTCTTCTTCTTCTTCCTCTTCTTCTTCCTGTATTATGATTTTGTTTCTTTATGAGAAGTCAGTTCTCTTTATTTTTTTCTTTCTTTTCTTTTTTTCAAGGTATTAGTTCTCACATTCGTCTTCTTATGCATCTCCTTCTTTGTCTTCTTGTTAAGGATGTCAGTTCTCAGATGTTCTTTCTTACTCTTTCTGCTTCTTTTTTTAATTTCTCACATTCTGCTTCCTTTTCTTCCTCTTTGCCTTCTTGTTGTTAATTTTTTAAGGTGAGAATTTCACCTCTGTAACTCAATTATCATTGTATCCTGCTTACCCATAGATGCATAGTTTCCTCTAGTAGTTTTGCCATGTCATTAGTAATACAGCCTACTTTCCATCATTTTTAGATTTGTCATCTGATCAGGTCCCCTCAGTTAACCCCATCATCATTAGATTTGTCATCTGATCATGTCACCTCACTCTCAGTTAACCCCATCATCATTAGATTTGTCATCTGATGGTGTTGCCACACTCTCAGTTAACCCTATCATCATCAGATTTGTCATCTGATCAGGTCCCCTCAGTCTCAGTTAACCCCATCATAATCAGATTTGTCATCTGATCATGTCACTCCACTCTCTCCTGTAGTAGTCTTGCCATTGCATTAGCATTAGAGCCTACTGCAGCTTACACATTAGCCCCATGGTGACTTTTTATTGGACTTAACTGCTCTCAGTAGTAAAGTAGAGAATGACTTAGCATGAGTTGGGTGATGGCTAGTGCTTCATTCGGTGCTAAAGGACAAAAGAGGAAGAAGAAGTGTTGAAAAATATATATACTATATAATTGGAGGCAAAGAGTTCTTCAAAGCTAAATGGAGCTAGTCCTAATCGTAGACAATTAGTGAGAAAATAATGTGGAAGCAGCAGCGATGGGAGAATGGTCAACATCATGTCGGCTGCCTTTACTTCCCAGGACTTATCTGGTACCCTGTTTTAGGCTGAATGAAACTTGGCAGCTAAGATCACTTTTGACAAAAAAATAATCTGTGGTTTTGATTTCTAAACCCCCGAGCTGGCAGTCCAGCTATTCTGTACATTACATGCTTCAATATTTCTGATATTACATTGTCTTATGCCCTTCAACATCTGCTAAAGTCAAAGTGTCTGTCTCGCAACACTAGGATCAAAATATATAAAATGTTGATAAGACCAGTCGTTTTATATGGCTCTGAAACTTGGAGCACAACTAAAAGAGATGAAGCCTTATTTCAGGTTTTTGAAAACAGAGTCTTACTCATCAAAGATGCAAACAGCAGGAAATAAAGAGTGAGAAGCAATAATGAAATTCATAATCTGTTCAAATCACTGGCATCATGAGAGCTGATAGACTGAAATGGTTGGGGTATATTGAAAGAATGTCAGATGACAGAGAAGTAAAAACTGTATACACCAATGAGATGAATGGTCGTAGTCCACGAGGCAGAACAAGAAGAATATGGAGAGATAATGTCCAGACAGACCTGCAAACACTTGGTGTCACCAACTGAAAAGAGAAGGCCAACCAGAGAGATGAATAGAGGTGGGTGATATCTGCAGCAGTGAACATCAAGGGCTCAGAATGCTGAAGAAGAAGAAGAAGAATATGTATATATATATATATATTTTAGTTCAAGAATCTATAGTGTTGTAAAAACATGTTATCCCCGATTTCCTCAGAGTCCTGCTGAAAAACTGACTAACCTCTGCAGCATCAATCCTGAGATGGAACTGGACTTGATTAGCAAAAGTCTAGATCCTGATGATTTTGTTTTAGATGCATTCAAGAAAAGTGGATCCAAACCTAATTCGGAAAGTATGTGTTCTTTGAGTTTATTTGTCATCATCCTTGTCAGGTTGTTCAGTTTAATCCTGTCACCACGAGAAGCAGGACTCGTTGTGACCCTTCATTCCTTGAAAATTCCTTGAAATGCAGCTTGCCCTTTCAAGGCCTTTAAAAGACCCGGAACGGTTCTAAGAAGGTCTAATGTCCTTGAAGTTTGCATCAGTAACTTTGAAAATAATAAAAATAAGACAAATCAGAAATAAAAAGACATTCATTATCACAGTTGAGCTTTGGAGTGAAGCCACTCCCAACCCTTTTCCCAATCAAATCATAATTGTCACTGGGTTTGTCATCAGATCCTATCAGTCCACTTTCACCTGTTCCCATCATCATCATGTTTGTCAGTTCACCTAAATAATCGTCATATTGTTTGCCATCTGACCATGTCACCCTACGCTCACTTGTTCCCATTTTCCTCAGGTTTGTCCATCTAAAAACAGGAATTGAACAACTGATGCGGTGCAGAGACGGCCATGCACCTTTAAAAAGTAAAAATGGACCAGTATAATTTTTTTTTAAAATTATTGTGCTTCAGATGTAGAAGAAAAAAGAAGAGACAGGAAGGCTTTGATCCTCAATTCAAAGCATTGCTTTGAGTATATCTGAGAACTGAGGAACCCACAGTCTGCATACAAATAAGCCAGATCTATATATGGTTGTGCACGCAGTGCATCAGTCTTGAAACAAGACCAAAGTCCGGACTTGGATGAACAACCAAAACTTTCTACTGGAATTCACAATTTGTGAATAATGAAGAAGAAAAGACCCAATAATTTCCTGTTTGCGTAATTTATGCTTGTTTCTTCTGTTGACAGTTGTATTGCAGGCCTAATTTATGCTTGTTTCTTCTGTTGACAGTTGTATTGCAGGCCTAATTTATGCTTGTTTCTTCTGTTGACAGTTGTATTGCAGGCCTAATTTATGCTTGTTTCTTCTGTTGACAGTTGTATTGCAGGCCTAATTTATGCTTGTTTCTTCTGTTGACAGTTGTATTGCAGGCCTTATTTATGCTTGTTTCTTCTGTCGACAGTTGTATTGCAGGCCTAATTTATGCTTGTTTATTCTGTTGACAGTTGTATTGCAGGCCTAATTTATGCTTGTATCTTCTGTTGACAGTTGTATTGCAGGCCTAATTTATGCTTGTTTCTTCTGTTGACAGTTGTATTGCAGGCCTAATTTATGCTTGTTTCTTCTGTTGACAGTTGTATTGCAGGCCTAATTTATGCTTGTTTCTTCTGTTGACAGTTGTATTGCAGGCCTAATTTATGCTTGTTTCTTCTGTTGACAGTTGTATTGCAGGCCTAATTTATGCTTGTTTCTTCTGTTGACAGTTGTATTGCAGGCCTAATTTATGCTTGTTTCTTCTGTTGACAGTTGTATTGCAGGCCTAATTTATGCTTGTTTCTTCTGTTGACAGTTGTATTGCAGTCATTGCAGCCATTCATCCAGTGGGTCACGGACTTTGTCCTGCACCTGCTGGCAGCAGTGTCCATGTACCCAAATTACCCTGCATACCCTGGTGCCTCTCTGATCAAAGATCCCCAGGTAGGTACATCTGATTCTCCTCCACTAGGGATATCCTGTTCACAAATCTATTGTAACTGCTGTTAGCATTGATGATGAACTGCAGTCTTAGTGGCAGCCTTGATGATGAACTGCAGTCTTCGTGGCAGCCTTGATGATGAACTGCAGTCTTCGTGGCAGCCTTGATGATGAACTGCAGTCTTGGTGGCAGCCTTGATGATGAACTACAGTCTTGGTGGCGGCCTTGATGATGAACTGCGGTCTTGGTGGCAGCCTTGATGATGAACTGCAGTCTTGGTGGCAGCCTTGATGATGAACTGCAGTCTTGGTGGCAGCCTTGATGATGAACTGCAGTCTTGGTGGCAGCCTTGATGATGAACTGCAGTTGTAGTGGAGGACTGCTTGCGTTGGACGTTATGTAAAGGACGTGCTGATTGATGATGATGATGAACAGGAAAACTATGGGGTGATCAGTTTGTCTTGAAGCTGGAACTGTGATGAACTGATAACTGACTACTCATCCTGTTCAGCCTTTCTCTGCTATAATTAGTAAATGTAGAGGTAGTCTCATAACAGATACTGCCATTTGGGTTGTGAAGTTTTACGCTTTTACATATTTAGGCCATGACATACGAAGTGGGGTGACTGGTTCCCGCTCTGATTCTTCTTGACTCATAATATGTCAGGATTATTCATTTGAAACCCATTCATGCTGCATCGTGATTAATTGTATTAAGTTGAACATGATCATGTCATAGTTATGTAATAAGCGCTGACCCCCCCCAAAAAAAAGAAGCACAACCTTATCCCATGATGCACAGGCTCTGTTTCTGACCAGTGAGAAAATGACGGTACGTAGTTTACAGCTTTGCTGTGATAACTGCACTTTTTTTTTTCTCCAACACCTTCACTTCAGCAAACTCCTCTAATAAGTTGCCTTTTACAACTTGCTTGTTTAATAGGCAGTGGATTTGCTCCCTCCTCCCCACCTTTTTCACCCCTTTCAAAATGAGTTGGTGAATGCCAAGAAAAAGAAGCATGTTGTCCCTTCAGATTGACCATTGTAATATGCCAGTGTCCATGGTGTCCCTCCAGATTGACCATTGTAATATGTCAGTGTCTATGTTGTCCCTTCAGATTGACCATTGTAATATGTCAGTGTCCATGGTGTCCCTCCAGATTGACCATTGTAATATGTCAGTGTCTATGTTGTCCCTTCAGATTGACCATTGTAATATGTCAGTGTCCATGTTGTCCCTTCAGATTGACCATTGTATTATGTGAATGTTCACCTTGTCTCCTCAGATTAACCATTCGTATTATGTGAATGTTCACTTTGTCCCCTCAGATTAACCATTCGTATTATGTGAATGTTCACTTTGTCTCCTCAGATTAACCATTCGTATTATGTGAATGTTCACTTTGTCCCCTCAGATTAACCATTCGTATTATGTGAATGTTCACTTTGTCCCCTCAGATTAACCATTCGTATTATGTGAATGTTCACTTTGTCTCCTCAGATTAACCATTCGTATTATGTGAATGTTCACTTTGTCCCCTCAGATTAACCATTCGTATTATGTGAATGTTCACTTTGTCCCCTCAGATTAACCATTCGTATTATGTGAATGTTCACTTTGTCTCCTCAGATTAACCATTCGTATTATGTGAATGTTCACTTTGTCCCCTCAGATTTACCATTGTAATATGTCAGTGTCCATGTTTTCCTTTCAGGTTCTCACCATGATTCGGGAGCTGCTGATCATCATTCGCATATGGGGAAAGTATAACCATGCCTGCCTGCCAGTTTTTATGACCACTGTTTCCATCGACCCCTTACCGTATCTCTTTCGACTGGTCACTAAAGCTTGGGTAACCACACGTGATCAGGCAACCATTGAAGCGGATCAGACATTCCTGGATGAGTGTTGCAGTATACCTAGCAAGGTTGTATGTTTGCCTTTAGCTTGTGTCGGGTCCTAGTAGTAGTAATTTAAACAATATACTGTTCTACCCACCCAGGTTATAATTGGGATATAAAGAGTTTTGTGTGTTTCAGTAATGTATATTTATGCCTATCATATACCAATTCAATTTTTTTCTGTGTATAAGGCATCCATTTGTGTCAGCAGCCCCTATTTTTGTGTGTGTGCCCAAAATTAGGAAATAAATATTTTAAACACCAAACTGATCAATTTCGATATTTTATTAAATATTTAGGAGACCTGTATTTATAGTACTGTATTGTTAAACATAAAACAGAACAGCTTTACCAATTTATATAGTAGCGTCATTCGGGTATGTAATTGGGGTTGCCTAGTCAGCATTATTTTAACGTGCAGTATAAGAAAGGCCAAAGTAAAGATAATAATGTCCCGTTCACCTATGCAGAGGCGTAAAGATTCAACAGAAGGCAAAATCAAAGTGATGGAACCTTTGCAGAGGTTCTAAATGATGGTAATTAGGGAAATGTATGTAAACCTATGACTGTAGCAAACATGTGCACAAGCGGTTGTGGGGGAGGGGGGAGCTGGTTCTGGGTGGCCAGGGGCTGCTGAGAGATGAAGGAACCGGGTGGAAGAGACAGTGTCCGGAGAGGGTCTGTTGGTGGTGGCAGGTGAGTACCAGACCAAGGTTTGTCATGTATAAGACAACTCCCAATTTTAATCGTTGAAAATTTTTTTATTTTATTTGGGAAAACACATCATCTCTTTTACATGGACAAATACGGTATTTATGGTTATTCAATATTGCATAGCTTATGTATTAATTGAATAAGATTGTAAGAGTAAGTTTAATAAATTGTAGGTGTGCCATTCAAACAGTTATAGTAAATGTATTGCATATTCTGTCTTTGATGATATTTGAAGTGATCTGTGATACCTTCATTCTCTCTTAAGTTATATGAACACCTCATATGCTAACCCCTGTTCTTGTGATGTACTCGCTGTTTAAGCTTCCCTGTAGTTCTGTAGGGCAGTCTACTCCGAGCATGTTTTCTGTTGTCAAGCTGTTTGTTCTTGTGATGTACTCGCTGTTTAAGCTTCCCTGTAGTTCTGTAGGGCAGTCTACTCCGAGCATGTTTTCTGTTGTCAAGCTGATTGTTCTTGTGATGTACTCGCTGTTTAAGCTTCCCTGTAGTTCTGTAGGGCAGTCTACTCCCAGCATCTTTTCTGTTGTCAAGCTGATTGCAGCCAATCATAAATTCATTACAGGGAGTCCTTTTGAGTTCATATTTCTTGTTGTAGAGAAAATAATGTTCCATATTATTATTTATCTGTCATACAAAACAGCTGTTGGGTCTTTTGTACATTCTATTGTAATGATAGTTTTCTGTATGTATCCATATTCTCTTATTGTCGCTGTTGACGCATAAGGCATTTGCAAGCGTATCTCTCTTGCTGTTGTTCTGCTTTTTTAATGTTATCCATATAATCAGACTGCTTCTTCTTCTTCTCTTCCACCTTGTACCTCATCAAAGTGTCGGGGGAAAATGTAATGTTCGTTGATGAGCTCTGTCAAGAGCACTATTAAGATTGATGTTCATTTCTGTAAGGCTGTTCTTAATGCCGTCACTCCATATTTTCCGAGGCATTCCACTCGCTCTATACCCGTTGTAACGTTTTAGTGTGGCTCGCTGTGGCATTCTTGTTAGGTGTCCAAACCACTTCATTTGTTGTTCTTTGATGGCTTGTAAGACTGACTTTATTCCTAGCATTCGTCTGATTTCATGATTTCGTATTCTGTCTTTCCTTGAAACTCCTGCAGCTCTTCTAAGGCATTTCATCTCTGTTGTCACAATTTTACGTTCATTGGAGGATGTAAGTGTCCACATTTGGCGTTGATAGCAAAATGTTGGCTAAAATATCTGACTGCTACTGGCACTATTTGTGTTGACAGTATTTATGAGAATGCCTCGAGTGCTGTGATGCAGGTTCTTGAATCATCTCCTCTCAACTCTGATGTTATCCGGATCTCTTTAGGTCATCTCTTTTTTATCTGCTGTCCAGTTGAGAGCTGTCCTTATCAAAGTGTCACAGGGCCTTCTGCAAACATGTCCAGGCTATCTCTCATCTTTTCCCTTGATAACATTTGCCAGTGATGAACATTTAATTTTTCTCCTCAGTTCTTCATTTGTGATCTCGTCTGGTTAAAATAACTGCAGGATTTTCCTTAGACATTTATTTTCTTCTTCTTTTTCTTATTCTTAGCTGTTAACTCCAACAGAAGGTTCTGATTGTCCATCCCTTCTGAACTTTGGTCTTATTCCAGAGCTGAACTTAGCGTACACATCTGGTTTATTTGTATGCAGACTGTTGGTTCCTCACCTCTTAGACAGTACACACTGACTTCAGGTGTTCACTGCAGCCCACGGTCGGTTTTCGAAACCGGGCGGCTCCTGGGGTTCACCCAGCCTCTAGGAGATGGGTAAAAGAGTGACACTCTGGGGTAAATGAAGGAATGTCGCTGTAGCTACAGAGTTACGTGCAAACAGCGACACAGGCAGACAATTCTTATCAGCTGTCTGTACTGGTGGCACAACACTTATGGCTTATAACCGTGTGCAATGACGCTGGTTCACATCTCCCGACTTTACCTTTTTTTTACCCCTAATTAATCACATCCATTGACATGCTTGTTAGTGAGGGCAATGGGTCTATGCTTTTTTCCCCCAAAATGGGGATCTGGAAACTACACAGGTTGACATTTATTATGAACAGAATGATTCCCTATGTGGGTTCCAGGGCCCCATTGTGGGGAAAAACAAGAATAGACCCATTACCTCCGCAGCAAGCATGTCATAGAAGTCAACTAATTGGTGGCATCCTTCAAGTCGGAGTACCTCTTCCTGAGAGGCAAGGAACCAACAGTCTGAGTACAGTTGTGTATATCTTACTGAGATTTCTGTTGTCTTCTGCTGTTGTACAAATTAAGTAACATACCTTGTTATGATTTCACAGATGTTGCTACCCAACTACAAAAAGACGTATGGTGAGGAAATGAACTGCTACTTAGCCTTCTCTCAACCATTTCCTATAAACTACCAGTTTGGTGTGGAGCCGGACTTCCTCTTCAACCCCCGATACTCGCATCGGATGTTTCCCTTCGACCTGTGCCTCCATGCAGAACAGAAGTATGATTGTGTGAGGCAGACTCAGCTAGGGGTGTGCCCCAAGGAGCCGCTGCGGGAATGTGTCCGGTGCTGTTCACTGTCGTTGCGGAGGAAGCCTTCAGCAACAAAGTCGCCTCTCTTGAGAGCTTGGGAGCTTCGTTTTGTGAAGTCTTGTTTGTGTGGTGGACACTGGAAGCTGCAGCAGCTGCCTCCACAGTTAACTTGGTAAGTGCTTTATTATTTGGTAGAGAATGTTTTTTGTTGTTGTATACTTTGTTGATGTTATTTTGAAAATAAGATGTGTATATTCTGGGGTCCCATTTTGGGGCAGAAGAAAAGAATAGAACACACTGTCATAAAAGTTGACTAATTAGGGGTGTTTCCAAGACTTGAGTTTGCATGCACTGTTTTGGATATCTGGTTTATTTATTTGCAGGCTTTAGGTTCCTTGCTTCTCCTACAGAGGCACTCCGGCTTTGAATGAAACGCTCCCAATTAGGTACCTTGTACAACAAGCTTATTAGGGAGGCAGTGGGTCTGTTATGGTCTACAATATTCTAAGAATCTTTCTGTAACATTCAAGTTCCAAAGCACTGATTTTCTTTTTAAGCGAAAAGGAAATGGTCTGTGATTTACATGCAGCTCAATTCATCATCATTTAGCATGTCCTTAACTTCTGTCACAAGCAGCCTGAAAAGCAGCTCAGTCTCTCACCAACTCCTCACCTGATAAAACTTTTATGATTTTACAGAGCTGACTTATTTGTGTGCAGACAGTTGGTTTATTATGCACTCTAACTTCATTGGAAACCACTAGTTAGTAAACTTCCCCGACGTGCTTGTTTGGGAGTCAGGGGAACAGTTCTTGTTTCTCCACAGTGGGGCTCTGGAATTCACACAGGGACAAGACGTTTGATATGGCTAAAGTATTTCAGTTTCTAAAAAGTCTAATTAGCCTTTTATAATATCATTGTAGTAAATGTATTCTTTATACAACATTCTACTGCTGTATATGATGTTTTCTTTATACAGCATAATTCTACTGCTATATATGATGTATTCTTTATACAACATAATTCTACTGCTATATATGATGTATTCTTTATACAACATATTATACTGCTATTTATTATGTATTCTTTATACAACATAATTATACTGCTATATATGATGTTTTATAATGCTGACAGTAAAAGAGAACATTTATATATTCCTTCAACAGGTTGAGGGAACTAACATAATTCATCAATCAAAAAAGTCAGTGCAGCGCTAGCGGAGGAACTTACACTCTTCTTATACATCCATCATTTTGTTGGTCCTGTTTTGCTGAAATGAGTTGAGAGTGAAGCTCATTTATCTGTAGTTTTACAGTATGTCTGTACTGGAGCTATTGGACATTAGAAATCATGTTGAATGTGATTTGTATTCTTCATCTGCCCTTTGTGCCCATGCCCCCCACCAACAACAACAACCAAACATATGCCTTCAGCCAACTACTGCCAAGTTGTGTCTGCCATTGGAAGTTGTACAGGGCAGGTCATAAATGGCCACCAGCCAACTACTGCCAAGTTGTGTCTGCCATTGGAAGTTGTACAGGGCAGGTCATAAATGGCCACCAGCCAACTACTGCCAAGTTGTGTCTGCCATTGGAAGTTGTACAGGGCAGGTCATAAATGGCCACCAGCCAACTACTGCCAAGTTGTGTCTGCCATTGGAAGTTGTACAGGGCAGGTCATAAATGGCCACCAGCCAACTACTGCCAAGTTGTGTCTGCCATTGGAAGTTGTACAGGGCAGGTCATAAATGGCCACCAGCCAACTACTGCCAAGTTGTGTCTGCCATTGGAAGTTGTACAGGGCAACAGGGCAGGTCATAAATGGCCACCAGCCAACTACTGCCAAGTTGTGTCTGCCATTGGAAGTTGTACAGGGCAGGTCATAAATGGCCACCAGCCAACTACTGCCAAGTTGTGTCTGCCATTGGAAGTTGTACAGGGCAGGTCATAAATGGCCACCAGCCAACTACTGCCAAGTTGTGTCTGCCATTGGAAGTTGTACAGGGCAGGTCATAAATGGCCACCAGCCAACTACTGCCAAGTTGTGTCTGCCATTGGAAGTTGTACAGGGCAGGTCATAAATGGCCACCAGCCAACTACTGCTAAGTTGTGTCTGCCATTGGAAGTTGTACAGGGCAGGTCATAAATGGCCACCAGCCAACTACTGCCAAGTTGTGTCTGCCATTGGAAGTTGTACAGGGCAGGACATAAATGGCCACCAGCCAAGCCAGATTCTAGTATTGAGAAAAGCTACCCACAATAAAACTTACCAAAGGGCTTCTATTTTCTTTGGTCATGTGATGAGGGAGGAGGCTTTGGAGAATATTTCGACAACTGGGAAGATTAACAGTAGAAGAGGGAGAGGCAGACTGAAAGGGACCATGACGGACTGATTTTGGCAGTGGCACAGACGGATATCATCGGTGAAACTGATCCAGAGGACAAGGGACTGAGATCTTTGGAGATACATGAACGCCTACACCAGTCAGCAGGGCATGTGATGATGATGACGATGATGATGACGGGGCTTAAAATGAAAACTTTAAAAGTGTGATATAAATTACAGTAACCATGCCGTTGTCTTGTAACCTGTCAATATTGCTGCTAAAGGTGTCAAGAAAGAGCATTGAGTATGTGCAGATGTACACGATGACCTCATGACAGTTCAAAGCCACACACCAAAGAGGAGCAGCATTATGTTATCCTTTTTTTTTTTAAATCAATGAAGGGGGGGAACCTGTAGAAATTTCTTGATGAATGAAGGTCCATTGATGCATGGCTGTCAGTCCAGCAAGTGTAGGAGTGGGAGTAGGAAGTTTTAGAAGGGTACGACTTCTGTGAGAGACTTTTCGTGACCAGGTCAGGCACACCGAGTGCTGATAGTGAGTGACCCCAGGGGTCAGCTGCAGTCATCGAACGCTTCGAATAGGAAAACGGCCAGTTGACTGTGATTGACATTGCTGCACATCTTGACAAGGTTGTTGCTTTTCTGTCACACTTTTGAGGTTTGCATGCACACATTTATTTAGATGTAGGAGTCAAGGTCAGACTGCTACACTGATATTTCAGGGGAAAGATTTAGAGCAGTTATAAAGCTAGATTTATGCTGGAAGAAGAATTGTTTGGTAAAAATCCCTACCTGAATTTGGATAGAGCAGCCTTTCATGGCGTGACATTATACAAATGCCTTGTCGTCTGTAAAGTAAAGGACCCTTTTCCATGCCTTCAGGCCTACTGGGCATATAGGGCTAGACCTGTATCTTATAGACCAGTAAGCACTCTGTGGGGATATGGTCAGCATCGTGTGGACCCCTTTTACTTCCCTGGACTTTACCTGGTACCCATGTGAGGCTGGGTTGACCTGGAAGCCAAGGTCAGTGTTGAAAAAATCCAGCTCAATGTGGTTTTGAACCTGCAGTCTTCGGGCCTGAGGTGAGCATATAGCCGCTGTACCACCGTGGCTTTCCTTTATTGTCTGTAGTCTATTTTAAAACTTGTGGTAAATCCAGGTGCAATTAGATATACCCGAAGTGGTGAAAGAGACAGCCATGCTGAAATGTCTGACCCACTAAATGACAAGTTTATAAGGTGAATCAGCACACACTCCAGGGCGACCAAGGGTGCGCTGGGAAGACAACATCCGACAGTCCTTAACTGACAGAGGACTGGAATTAAACTAAGCCAGAAAGAAAACTGCTGATAGAGAAGTCTGGCGATCTCTCTGGCAAAGTACCCCAAGGTAAAATAGGAGCGACTAAGTAAGTATCAGCACACACAGTCGATGTTATTTTGAATAATTTATTTTGAACGAGAGCAGAGTGCAAATAATTTATGTTGTACATTAAAATAGTACACATAATTGACAGGTGTTGTATATTAAATTAATGCACATAATAATGTTACAATATTTAATCAAGGCACATAATTGACATGTTGTGTAATATAAATTACTAATGTTTTACAGTGAATTGGTGCACGTTATGGACATGTTATATATTGAATTGATGCGTATGACTGTTTTTACATAGTATCAGTGCACATTACTGATATGTTATATATTGAAGTAATACACATAACTGATATGTTATAATATCATTGATGCACATAACCTTGTGCATATAATTAACAAATGTTTTAAACTAAATTAGGGCACATGATTGACTGTCATATACTGAATTAATGCAAATAATTGATGTTTTTACATTAAATTAGTGCAGATAATATTCCTGTGGTATACATTGAATTGAAAGCTGTGCTAGCACTACGGCTGCCATTCTTAACTGCCACCTCATTTGCCATGTTTTCAAATCTCTCTGAAGACCGGATATTTAAAACAGAAAAATTAGCCTAAGCTTCGCAGATCGTAGAGTCTAAAAGGGTTACCAGGATTTGCTCGGTAGATGAGTGAGTGAATGACGTTTAACCCCACCAGGACCGTACCACGAGCGATAAACACCCGGTGACACAAAAGTGTCACTATTCGGATGAGAATCACCCCAGCACAAGTCCCAGAAACCCTGTTCAACCGTTAGGTTATATTAGGGCCCTGATTGCAACTGGGGTGGAGCTTTAAAATAACACAAAAGTGCATCCCGTGCTGGGGTGAGGTTATAACTCTTAATAGATCGTCACAATCTGCAGAAAATAATGCAGCAGAGAATATCTCACTCAGCACTCAGGGGGAAGGCAGAATAGACACACAGTCAGACTAATGCTGGTATCCCCTTTGTGGGTTCTATAGGTGGCAGTGTGGAGAAAACCAGAAAACACCCATTGCTCCCCAACCAGCAGGTCGTGAGTGTCGACTAGTTGGGGGCTTCCTTCGAAGTCGGAGTACATCTGCCTGAGAGGCCACGAAACAACAGTCTGCATACAGATAAGTCAGAGCTGGAAAATGGATTTGCACACAGTGTTCAGGTTCTGGAACAAGGCAAATGTCTAGATGTGAACCCTGACCTTTCCACCAAATGTTACAGCCAGGGAATGCAAAGAGGAAGACTGCTACTGGTATCATCAGAACTGGAACTCTGAGTGGCTGCTGAAAATGAGGACAGAGTGTTTTAGGAAATGCACTTAGCGCTGTGATATCAGTTCTTGACCGAGCTCTGTAAATGCGCTGGGAAGTAAAGATGGTTGGCATGGTGTTGACTCTCCTCATATCGGTTGGTCTTTAAA